ACCGTGGCTAAGGGCCACAGTGTCAGGGGTTCCACCTGCCACTATCAGAGCACTAAACTTAGACTTTTATTATTTATGATTTTGAGTTTTGTTCCACATTTCTCTACCACCTTATCCAGGACCTCTTTTGATCTTTTTCAGAGTGGCCAGCAGTTGTATCTGAGCTTGTTCTAATCTCAGGGTCATGGGCTGTGGTTCATGTGGTCCATTAATCGTCTGGACTAATTTTTCCTTGTGTCTTTGATTTTCTTCATTCTTATTTACATTTGGGAGAGATCAATAGTTGCACCTTAAGTTGCCACTCATAAGCTTTTAAGACCTCAGATGCTACTCAGCATAGTAGGATGTTGTGCCAATTGATCTTGATGTGCCTTGAACCTATGGTCCTGAACCCTTAGATCCAGTGGTTGACTACCTCAAGGTATTTGGTTACGGCTAACAAATTTTCATAACTTTGTCCCTTGTATGCTCTGCTATAAGGGTCCCCACTTTCAATGTCTTACCCTCTCTCTGCTTTATTGGTTTGCTCTCTAGATGGGTTTGAAACCCAAAGGGCGTGATTCTGTTCTCCCTCCTGGTCCACCCTACAAATGTCTAAATGTACGTTAACCTGGTTTTTAGAATAGACAATAGCTGCAATTTCAACCTTTTTCCATTCCAATACACAAGGTAGATGATGTTATTGTTCAAGATAATCTCCCATGAGCAACCCAAATTTATGAGCAATTCCTGCTGCGAGATGTATCTCCTTCTACTTCCCTCCAACTTAGAACAAATCAGAATGCAAGAATGGAATTACTATGTTGTTGTTGTTACATGCCGACGAATTGGTCCCTATTCATATAGCAACCCTGTATAGGGTTTCCAAGGAGTGGCTGGTGAATTTGAATCTCCGACCTCCAACCTTGCCGTCCAGTGCATTATCCCACAGTGCCACACAGAGGTGTTGAATCTTGTATGATGTTTATTTCTGTAATTTTATGATGATTTGTAAGAAATTATTATTTTTCACCATTATAGTTGAAAGCTAATTATTGTCCCACAGATCTGTAAGAGATGGTAGTGGTGATGATAAGTGCAGTCGAATTGGTTCCAACCCATAGCGACCCTGTATAGGGTTTCCAAGGAGTGGTTGGTGAGCTTGAAATGCTGACCTTGCAGTTCAAACAGACTTCAATCCAGCGCATTAAACCCACAGCGCCACACCAGATCTGTAGAAGGTACGTGTACCTGGATCTTGACCATTTTACACTCTTGAAAGTTACATATTATAAAATGTATGAACTTTAAAACTGCCCTGTTGTTTTCTTCACTCTCTTTTTTATTTTGAGTGAATGACATTTGATGGAATAGCAAGCTACACGTGCAACAAAAACAAATGTGTGTATCCATGGGCCTGGATGCTACATGTATTGTGAATAACTCCCAGCAAGAGTTCAGGAGGAAAAGATTCTTCAAAGCAATTTCCATTCTGCCTATCCTTAACATGCAGGGGAAAAGGCAGGAATCCAGACCAGAACTTCCTTTGCTTTGGTGGTAGTTGGTTATGTACTGTGGAGTCAGTTCTGACTCAGAGCAACCCCATGTAGGGCTTCCAAGGCTGCAAATCTTTACAGGAGCAGAAAGCCTCATCTTTCTCCTATGGAACCACTGGTAGTTTCAAACTGCTGACCTTGAGGTTAGCAGCCTGACTTGTAACCACTACGTGACCAGAGCTCTTTAGCATCTGACATATATGACAGAGACCATAGAGGTCATAATCTTGAAACAGGAAGCAAATCTGGTACTGATTTCTCACCAAGCTGACAAGCAGTAAGGATACAAACTCACGTTTTCAGAAGAGTGAGCATTTTACACTGCCAGAATTTTCTTCTGCAAATTGTTTGAGAGCTAAGAGGTGTCCCGACATCTCTTTCTATCCCAGCATTTCCAATTTGTTTTCACAGCCCAACACTTCAACTAAACTGAGGCATAATAGCAAAAGAGGCAGGAAGGAAAATTAATATTTTCTACATGGACTTCCTCATCTTGTGTAGATTTATGGATTTCATTTCTGTTATGCAGAAGTTAGCATTTTTAACAATGAGGGGAGAGAAAATTCTTAATTGTTTTTTTATTGCCTCAAGAGTTCCAAAGACATCTTGTGCTATGTTGTCATTTACATTTCACATTAAATGCAAAATATGTCTGAAATGAGCAAATATTTGTTTTAATTTGGTCCATCTGTTAACTGAAATACTAAAAAGACAGCTAAATCACCATATTAAATTCAGCGATTTGTAAACAATTTATATGTTCATTTATTCTGGGTTAAAAATGCCCCAAAGCAGAAGTTTTATGAAACCCACAAAGTAAATAGCATTGTATTAATCTGATGAATGCAGGCCATGATTTTCTTCTTTTCACTCCATTAATTTATTTCCTAACTTGAGTTAATTAGCAAGGTTCTTATTTTTAAAAGCTCTTTTGGAATTCATTGAAGAAGGAGGACATTTGCACGAACTTCTTTGAAAACCTACTGCAAAGGAAAACAGGCTAATCACAAGTGGTAAATCCCTCTCTGACATGAACTCACATTTTGTGACCCTGATTGCCATTCAACAATCTATATACTGAAAGCCCATCTGATTAATTTATAGTTGTTCAGAGAAAGAACGAGAAAACTAAAATGAAAACATAAGCGCAGCAGCAGAACAAATTCATTCCCGACAATCACGGGCAGGATAAGATGGTCTGCAAATTCTTTTCCATCTTGAAATAAAAGCCTGTGGTACTGTGATTTTAAGGCTATAAAATAGGGACTGGGCTTAACATGGAGCAACACCCAATGTGGGGTAAAGAGACTTCTAATCTGAGGCATGCCAAAAACATTGGTCAAATAGAGAACAAAGCTAAACCCATTATAGTTTGTTTTTGTCAAAATAAGCCGCAATGCATAAATTAGACTGGGAGGTAGTTGGAGACCATTGAACCTACTTCTAATTCTGTCTTTCTAGTCCTTTCTCTGCCTTCTAATTCTTATCCTCTCAAACCGGTGTCCTCATCAAAGGCATGCACTCATATAGGAGAAAATCAATTCATGCACACTAAATATACATTAAGGAACTCTCGTAGCGTAGTGGTTACGGATCAGGCTGCGAACCTCAGGGCCAGCAGTTCAAAACTACCAGCTGTTCCGCTGGAGAAAGATGAGGTTTTCTGCTCCTGTAAAGATTTACAGCCTCGGAAACCCTGTACAGGGTCGCTATGAGTCGGAACCGACTCCACGGCACATAACAACAAGTATACATTACTGCTTTACTGTTTCAGATCCGCCTTTCACCAGGAAAGAGAAAAGCAGCCTTTGAACTTTAAAATTCAAGCTTTAAGCAACAGTGATGTCCACTGGTTCGTTTATGTTGTTGTTGTTGTTGTCAAGTGCCGTTGAGTCAATTCCAATCCATAGCAACCCTGTATAGAGTTTCCAAGGAGCAGCTGGTGAACTTGATCTGCCGACCTTGCAGTCTGGCGCATTAACCCACAGTGCCACACCTAGACTATAGGGCAGTGGATGTATATCCACTGATTGCCTGGCATCACCTACACCAACTTTCAGAAAGGCTGGCCCTCTGAGGCAGCACCACCGCAGCCTAATCTGATTAGCACTTTCTTTATCAAATCCCTGCCTGATTTCATTATACTGTCACCACATGCCTATGAAAACTATGGCAGAAATGAACTTCCCTGCCCTGAGAAGTAAGGTTACATCTCAGAGCTTATAAGTTGCTTGTGTAAATTTGAACTAAGTTTTCTTTAAGCCTCAAATTCCTCCTTAATAAAATGGAAATATAAATGGTCAAACACAGTGCCTGACAGAGCGGGAAGGAAGCAAACAAAATAGTGAGTGAGCTCTACTCATTCAGACACAGAGAGGTGAAGTCAGCTGGTGACAGACACACCAATCGCCAGGACTGGAATAAAAACCTTGTTCTTCCCATGTCTCTTCAAATGTCTCCAAATTCTCTCTCATTTCTAACTCTTGGCCCTGGAACCTGTTACTCAGGTTTCCCATGCCAAAGCAAACAGCACCCTGATTTACTCCTTTTCCTGATGGCCATGTTGGAGAAGGAGAGAATGAGGGAACATTTGTTTTTACCAACTCTCCCTTGACTCACACACCCACAACACTGTCTTTTTCTTGTTTCTGCTAAAATATGTTTGTTTGTTTTTTAACTTTTTGCTTGCATACACTTTTTGTCTCTACTACAGCTACATCTCCCAGAAGGTAGTGACTAGGCCCCTCCTGGTGAAGGACTTTGGAAGCACAAGCCATGGGTTCCCTTTCTTACACAGGAAAGGGTTTCAACCTTATATACTTGCGTTAACAACAAAAGTTTGAAAAACAAACAGCTCTGTGTGTGAATTGGGTATTTTGGATCATCAGTCAAATCACCCTGAAACAGGCTGTCTGCCCCCACCATGTTTTTCAACTCTGATAAGGAACAGATAGTGGACGGACGCCCAAGCACTACCCTGGGGATGGTATGTCTGAGAATTTGTCTCTTCAGGCTGGTTTTGGAGATATCAAAGCAGATAGCAACCTAAAGAAAGTGTGTCCCTGTTAGCCTTGCTTCTCCAGAGGAGGAAAATGGGAATAAAATCAAATTGCCCCAAAAAAGAGTTCTCCAGGATAAAGATAGCCTTGATAGGAATGCTTTCTTTCCTATCACCATGGAACTGAGTCCTTTTCAAAGGACTTTCACCTTACTGGAATTACCTAATGTGACCTGTTGGTATTATTACCCCCATTTTACCTAAGATGTTTTATGACTTCAAGTACCCAGTCCTCCTGCCTGGACTATCGCTCTTTTCATTATAACCCACCACATTCTCCCACACCACAGGGGGGAAAAGGTTCAAAGACTCAGATCAATTCCCTCCTTCTACTTTAGGACTCTTGAGCCTAACCAAGCTGAGGAGAGCTATTTAAACGTATACTTTGAGGATGATACAACCGCCAGTTATAAGGACCTGAGGGATTTGGGAGTTGCCTCCTCACAAGACTCACTCAGAAAGATGATGGTCTGTCTCCTGGCTGTCTTGCTTTCCTCACTCTCAGATTTCCTCAGTTGTGGCTGCTGTCCATTCCCAGCCAGCGTGCCCTGCTTACTTCTCATGAGCACCTGCATCATGTTCCAGCACATGAATGCCACAGAGACCAGGACCACAAGGTAGATGATGAAGGCACTGAAGATACTGGACTGGTACACAGTCCAACGGCTGGAGAGATTGGTACAGATGGACATGTTGGAGGTCTCAGGTTCCTGTTGGTGGCGTGTGAAGGAGCGGTTGCAACTGAGACGCTGGACACTGGGTACATACACAAGAGGGTACTCAACACCCATGGCAAAAAGCAAGGGCAATGCCACCAGGGCAGAGGTGATCCAGACGAAGCCAATCAGCAGCTTCACCTGAAAGGGCCCTGACACGGCCTTATACCTGAACGGGTGGCAGATGGCAACGTAACGCTCGAAGCTCAGCGTGAGGATGTGAAGCAGTGTGGCATAGCTACAGGTCTCAAAGAGGAATGTGTGAAGCTTACAGGACATGGCATAGCTGGGCGTGGTCAGTGGGTTCCAGATGATGCTGTAGAACTCCATGGGCATGCCAATGAGGAAGACCAAGATGTCTGAGCAAGCCAGACTCACCATGTGATCCGTGACCTCTTTCTGCAGGTAACCTTTCTTCTGCAGCACCTGGGTGACCCGAATGGTGATGCTATTCCCCAGAATGCCCACCACGAAGATGACCAGGTACACCAGGATGAGGATGATTTTGATCCAGGTGGCCACCTCAAACTCTATAACGTGGCTATGATCGATGACATCGGAGCAGTCTTTGTATAAAGCCATGGGCAAGAGGGTCAACAACCAGGTCCCAAGACCTTCTCACCTTTCCTTCCTCCTCCCAGAGGAGCCCAAACTTCTTGACTGTGAATCACGGGAGTGAACACAGGACACCCTGTCTTTTGCTGTTACTAGCAAAAGGAGGGAAACTACCTTGAGCAGCTCATTCTGCAAACGGCTCAGCGGTGTCTCGGTGAGGGTGGAGGAAAAAGGTTCTAGTCTCCTCCGAAACGGGGAGTGAGACCAGCAGCCAGCGGACACGATCTGTCTCTCAGCTCCCCTCTGCTCCCCTCGGACCTGGCATTTGCAACACAGACAGGCCCCACGCTCCAGGAACTCCCTCTCTACAGCTCTGGAGGCAGGCGGGAAGCGGAGACCGTGATTAATGATTAGCCAGGTCAGGCTAGGCTGGCGTTGGCTGCTGACCCAGCCCAGGGGCGGAGGTTGACTCAGCGCATAGGTATTGCCAGATCTTGGCTCCGGATTACCAGGTTAAAGTGAACCAGTCATCGCTGCCTGACCGAAGAGCATCCCTGAGAAATGTAGCCCCAGGAAGCTGGCATGAGCTCCTGGGCTGAGGTTAGAGAACGACAAACTTCCCCTCCCTGTTCTAGCGACCGCCCTGAGGTGCCTTCCAAGCTCAGCCTCTGCCAGTTTCGAGGCCCTGCAGCTGGACACCCACCTCTATTGTCACCGCGCGAAGCCTCTCACCAGTACACCCACCGCCCTGGAGAAGCCCGCCAACGTGGGCCTTTGGGGAATTTGGGGGTTATTTCCAGTGTGACTGCGATCTCAGGAAGTCGGCCCCAAGGGGTCAGTATCCACTGACTTCGTGTTCATTCAGATTCATAGCAACCCTATCTATAGTACAGAGCAGAACAGACCTAGAGGGTTTCCGAGGCTGTAAATCTTTCTGGAAGCTGACTGCCTCATCTTTCTCCCCTAGAGCGGCTGGTAGATTCAAACCACCATACTTTTGAGTGCTTAACCACTGCACCACCAGGCATCCTTAAGCAGAGGAATGCTATTGTTAACTGCCTTCAAGTGGGTTCCAATTCTTAGCCACCCTGTATAAGGATTTCCAAGGAAGGACTGGTGAGTTTGAACGGCTGACCTTTCAGTTCAAACTGACCTTGCAGTCATCCTACAGCACCACACCAGGACTCCAAGCAGATGAACAGGATTCCTGTAAAAGCCCTTTCTTCCAGCTCTCCAGGTGCCCTGGTACCTTCACCACAGGGACTGTGGCATCCCTCCTTTCAGTTTCACTAGCTTCTACTGAGTGCAATTCATGTGCCCAGGAGTCCCTAGGTGGCAGAAAACTGGTAAGCACTGCTTCATACCCACCCAGAGGTGCCTGCAAAGACCTGGATATCTGTTTCCAAAAACTAAGGCCTTGGTTTGGTTTCCCATGTGTCACAGCCTCCTTGAAACGGATCATTTTAAAGATAAAGGACCTGGAGTATCAAGAGAATGATTCTCCCCGAAGGTTATAAAAGAGTGAGTAAGAGACTTGCCAATCAAACCAGATCTGCCCCAGCTCAGAGTCTGTATTCTGAACCATGACAGAATCTTTGGAGTACATTTTGTGCTCAGGAAATGTGTCCCAAATGAATGTACAAAGACATCTGGAAGCTATATTTTCTGAACCCAGCCCTGGACACATCATTGGCAACCTGAAGCAATATTTGATTTTGATACCATCTTAGGTGGAGGGGAGACAAATCATATGACCACTGGTTCGTACAACTTAGCTCTGTATGTGGTTTTAGTTATTTTACAAGCTCCCAGAGCTGAAGACTGTGCATCTCCCTCTCTGATACCTCTGTACAATACTTTTAAGTAGTAAGCGTGCTGGAGGTGGAAACCCCCTATGTGTACTACTTGACTGGTGGAATGGGAAACTCCTAACTCAGTTCCTTAACAATGCACTATGTTAGCTAAAGAAGCAAGGCAGCATTGCATCTGTCCCCTAAAGTGCAACTTGGTAAGCATGAACTGTTGGGACTTTCATGACTACAAGTCCGAATCCTGCTTTGACATCCCTGCAAAAGATCATAGTTCTTTGTTGTCCCTGAGTGGCTGAGAAAAGGAAAGTCAAACCCTCCCACCACCACTAAAACACATACACACATACACTAGGCATATGTGGGTATTAAGCACTTGAAATGGGCTTAATATATGGCAGGCCCAAACTTACATCTAGGGTAGCTATGAGTCAAAACTGACTCACAGAGATGTGCTGTGAGTATGAAATGTATAACAGACTTGGAAAACTTGATATGAAAAAAAAAAAGATAACTTTATCATCAGCAGTTATAATACTAATTACATTACATGTGGCTTGCATTTGTGCCTCCCGTTATATTTCTATTGGGCAATGATACTATGACAAGCAGATAATGAAATAAAAGACCAAGGTCAGGAATAAATTCTAATGTTTACAGAAATGTAGAATGGAGTGTATAATAGTGGTGTCATTTCAGGTCAGTGGGAAAAGATGAATTATGTAATAAATGGTATTGGAACAATAGGTTCAGAATCTTAAAAAGAGACAGAGAAAGAGTAAGTTAGATATCTAAATGATGGTATAAGAAAAAATTAGCATAGTGTGCTTATGAAATACGTGCCTGGAGGAGGGTGGGCTACTGGTTGGCAAAAAAAGAACACTGTGCATGTTATATGCATAAAATATCAGGTGCCTCTATACTTTATAATAATATAAATTCCAGGTGGATTCAATCTTTGCATTTTAATCATTAAGGAAATCATTAAATGGTAGAATAAAACATTAGAGATTTAAAAAAAATTAAATTGGATTTTGAATGTTATGACACAAATCCTAGAAGCTATAAAGAAAAAGGTTGATAAACATCACCTCATAAAAGTAAAACAGTTCTACAAAGGAAAAAAAACACACCAAACCACTGAATAAAGTTAAACAGTGAATGACAAACAGGGAAAATAGATGCAGTGATATTATACAGTAATGAATCATTTTCATAATTCATTACAGTAGATAAAAATACCACAGTTCTCAAAATTGCTCTATAGATTCAATGTAATTCCCCCAATTAATATTCCAGTAGATTTTTCATAGTCTAAATTTTAAAGAAGAACAAGAGCCAAGAATGACTAAGATGCTCATAGGAGGTAGGAGGATTTGTTCTACCAGGTACCAAGATTTATATTACAACTATAGTTTATAAAAAAGTATGATTTTGACTTGGTGACAAACAGAAGAAACAAAGAGCTAACACAGAAATAAATGCATATGTTGTTGTTGTTGTCAGGTGCCATCGAGTCGGAACCGACTCATAGCGACCCCATGCACAGCAGAACGAAACAATGTTCGATCCTGGGCCAACCTCACTACCGCTGCCATACTTGAGTCCATCAATGATGCCACCTGACTGATCCATCTTGTTGGGGGTCTTCCTCTTTTCCTCTGACCCTCCACCCTACCCAGCATGACATCCTTCTCCAGCGATTGTTTCCTCCGGACAATATGTCCAAAGTAGGAGAGACGAAGCTTAGCCATCCTGGCTTCCAAAGAGCACTCTGGCTGCACTTCTTCCAAAACAGATCTATTGGTTCTTTTGGCAGTCCACGGCACTTTCAGTATTCTCCTCCAACACCACAACTCAAAGGCATCAATTCTTCTACGATCCTCCTTATTCACTGTCCAGCTTTCGCATCCATATGAGGCTATTGAAAACACAATGGTCTGGGTCAGGCGCACCCTAGTTCTTAACATCTTTGCTCTTCAAAAATGCATATATGTATGTACAAGTTTTACATCTGAGAGGGCACAGAGAGGCAGAGCAGAAATGATGCTTTTTTCTGTTGGTGAGTGGTTAACCAATTCTCAGGGTGGGATAATTTCTGTTGTTAAGTGCACTGGAGTCTGTTTTAACTCATAGCTACCTTATATAGGGTTTCTGAGGCTTTTAATCTTTTGCAGAAGCAGAAAGCCTCGTTTTTCTCCTGCAGAGCTACTGGTGGGCTTGAACTACCCCCTTGTGTTTTGAAGTCCAGAGCTTATTCTATGGACCCATCAAGTGACAAACCTCATTTGTAGCATTTGCCAATTTCTATGGTATAAATATTTCTATCATGACTAATTCTCAACTACCAATACTTTAACAATTTTTTCATACAACTCCTGAAAATTTTGCAGTCAGCTCTTGGAAGTCATTATGAATCACTTGTCAATAAATGCTGCTTGTATTTATCCACATACAACAATTTGGATAAAATTCATTAAGAAAAAAAACAGTCCAAATTTCAGACAAACAGGTAATAGACACTTCACAAAAGAGAAAATCCAGATGGGTAATAAATAAGGAGGTGCTCAACCTCATTTGTTGTTGTTAGGTGCCATCAAGTCGGCACCGACTCATAGCAACCCTATGTACAACAGAACGAAACACTGAAACACTGACCAGTCCTAGGCCAACCTCACAATTATTGCTACATTTGAGCCCATTGATGCTGCCATTGTGCCAATCAAACGTGCTGGGGTCTTCTTCTTTTTCCGACCCTCTACTTTACCAAACATAATGTCCTTCTCCAGTGGCTGGTCTCTCCTGAAAATATGTCCAAAGCATGAGAGATGAAGTCTGACCATACTGGCTTCCAAGAAGCGCCCTGGCTGTACTTATCCAACACAGATGTGTTTATTCTTTTGGCAGTCTTTGGTACTTTTAATACTCTCCTCCAACACCATAACTCAGAATCACCAATTCTTCTGTGATCTTCCTTGTTCACTATCCAACTTTTGCACACATATGAGATTATTGAAAATACCATGTCTTGGGTCAGGCATAACCTTAGTCCTCAAATTGATGTTCTTGCTCTTCAATGGTTTAAAGAGGTCTTGTGCAGCAGATCTCAATTAGTAGTCAAGAAAATAGAAATAAAAAATTATAAAGAAATACAACAACACACTTGCCAGATAGTCTACGCGTGGCACAAATGTTTTCTACTCAGCTACTAATGGAAAG